CCTCCGGTACGAACTGGCAGTAACTCTCCCGTGCCCGCGCCATAGGGCACCTAGAGGTCAGGGTTAAAGGAAAGGCGACACCCAACGCATTACCTCCAAACCCATGTTCTGAGCCGCGAAGTCAATGTCGGAGATCTGAGGCATGCCACGCTTGTTCTGCTCCATGATTCGGATAGTCCGATGAATCAGAGATAGAGTCAGGTGGCGCAGATGTTTCTGCAGATAGGTATGCTCCTCGGGTGCGAACGCAGTAATGGCGTTTATTTCTGCACATGTTTTGAGCATTTCTGGGCTGAATTCCAAGGTCTGTCCAGAGGCTGCCAGAGGAGCCAGGTGTTTCTGCGCCTTGCTCACAGCCTTGCTGGCCAAAAGGCGGTTTTTGAATATGCGTTTCTTCACATAGCTTGCATTGGAGGATTTGCGAATAAGCTTTGCAGACTTTTTGCGTTCCTCAGAGTCCATTTCTAAACAAAAACAAGACGTTAAGATTATTATTATTATTATAAGTGTTACTGAGATGAGTGAATATGAAGGAGGGCACAGGAATCGAAAAAAAAACTCCACTTGTGAAAATATTTGGACACAGAATGTGCCGCACCTCGTGAAGAACTGACTAGTCTGCAAATCAGCTTTCAACAAGGCGAGTAAATATAGAAAGGAGTCGGCGTTTGTCAGACAAAATGTTGTGCTGGATCGTAAATGGAAGTTTTTTTCAGCAACTAGTGAATACTTGCGTGAAGGTCACTGAAAATTTCTCCTGGTTGAAATAAGATTACTTATTTTAAACAGCGTACAGAGCGGATAATGGATAATTTTTGAGCAATGATGAAATAGGTAAAGCTGAATAATCTGCAAATTTCATTGATGATAAGTGTATTTTAAGGCCTCCAGTTTGCTTTATTCTGTTCCTAATGTGTGTCAGAGGAGAATGTGTGTGCTGTAGACTTTACAATTCGTGGAAACATGCTCAAACACATTATTTATGGCAGTTTACTAACAATCAAAATTGTGAGTACTAAAAATAGTAAAAGTAATGTGAAAGTGAATTAGCGTCAGGGCTCACAATAAAAAAACTAGATTCAAGCCTTGGAAAAAACCAAGCACGCTACACAAGCCGACATTGCCTTTCACATCGTAACTGCCCTCTTGCTGCGGAAATATTTGCAAATAAAGGGCGATTTATTCTTTTGGGAGAAATTAAGACGTGTGGTGTAACATTTTACCAGTGGGGTTTTGTACAGGTTGAGAAAAAAACTTATCATCTGGACATGAAAAAAGAGGAAGACTCAATATTACCTAGCAAAGAAAAGTTCGCGAGTTTTCCAAACCAACTAAGAGTAAAAGCGAAAACGCATATTTTTGAAGATTGCTGATCGATTTTGTTGTTACTAGAACAAGAAGACGGCCAAAATATACCGGACTCTTTAAGGTTGTACAGTGCTTCGCAAAATAACCTCCATGAGACTGTATACAATGAATCCTGTAAGCATTGACACGGCAGCGCACACCGCGAGCTCCAGTCAATATCATTCAATGGCATAGGTCGAACACGAAGCAATAAATAAGCGCCTCGACCTTCTAAAAGGCCGTAGGAAGCTCTTTTTCAGCAGGTAGAATTTTCTTAGGTTTGAATGCCAAAGCGGCATTCGAATTAGGGCAACACAACTGAAATTGAAGCAAAACGTCCAAACACTTGTAAATGCCTTTATCGAATGGCTCCGGTGGCAGTACGAATGCACTGTGTTTTGCTGGAAATTAAATCGCCTATTTAATTGGAATAATCATCAACAGTGCTTGCTACAAAATCACAAAAATTACTGACCAGACCGAAGTGCGAAACAGAACCACTATGTCAAATTACGCACGGCGGGGAGTTAATGTGCACGTTCAAAACTCGGCACAAACCCCGAAAACAAAAATTTGTTTGAAGGCGTTGTCTCGTTCAGAAAATCGGTACAGATCTGGCTGAAATGTTTCACCTCTTTAAACTGGATGATGTTACTCAACCTACCAGTCAATGAGCAAACCCACTGGCTTTGTCGTCTTAGCTTATGTCTCTATCCCCTTTACGTCATCGTAATACTGTGATAAGCGTAGTGTAAACAAAATCAGTCAGCCGGTATCCTCCACGCATTTCGAAAGTCAAAGACCTCTTCTAACAAGTCAATGAATTACATAATTAAACAAGGAGAAAAGAAACATCCTATGCGAAGAGTTGTGGGGTGGGGGACTATTGTAGACAGGAACAATAACATAAACAGAGCAATAGTAGGCTTCGGTCACAGAAACGTTTCACCAGGTCGCCGTTCGTTAAGCTGCCGCAAGGACTCATTATGAAAGGAACAGCATGCCACATAGAAACTAATAACACGAAGAGTTGACTGCTTTTGTTTAACGGAAGTTAAGGAAACACAGCAGAGTGACTAACCAGTCAATACATCTAAGTCTAGCAGTGAATTCCTAGTACTCAGAGTATCTGTAGGCTTTCGAGAAATTCTCATTGAGCAAGAAAATTTATATGGGAACGAGATACAAGTTAAAACGCGTGTAAATAGGGGTGGGTGGTTGAGGTCGAAAGGCGACGGTTGTTTATGCGGCGCTGGAGGGGGTTCAGGCGGAGGGAGAAAATAGATAAAGAGAGAGCGCGGATGAGTGCATACAGTTAAGTGACTGTTGGTAATGTCCGTTTCCATATAATGGTACTGGCCCGATGAGAATTTGTCGAAAGCTTACGTATGCTTGTTAACTACCCCTTTTGAATTCTTTGCTGTGAATTTCTACAACTTAGAATTCATAGAAGTTGTAGATGCTTAAATTAAATGAGAATGACGATACGAAAATCATATAGAGCAATATCGCTTGGCACCATTCACAGCTCAATCTAGCAGTTCTCCTGAAGATAAGCACAGATGTGGATCGGCCATAGTGATTTGGTACTATAAGCATCTTCCTACATTTGTCTAATCAACCCAGGGGGCCTGGAAATCCGTATTGAGAATATTTTGATAAATGACATGGATACCATCATCATCTGGCGCCTCTCTGTTTTACAATCTCACTACTTATTAAAAATATGTTATAAGGATGATGGATTGACGTAACTGTAGACGGGACATAAAGATTGAGAAGGGGGTCGCAGTGTTAGCACAAGGACTGAATGTTAGTCGAGTTATATTAAAGAAATTCAACATCTATACTGCGGACAGTCTCTCAGTGCACAGAAGGTGCTGCTGACGTAGCAAAATTTCTCGTGATTTTTAGGCCTGTACAAGATAGTTGCTCTTTCGGCTCCGTAGATTACGGGTACCCTCTAATGAGGTCTGCCAAAAATGTACACAGTTGAAGATTTAGACAGTGCCATGAGAGTGAGTAATTGTGATGCCGTTAAGCTGATTTAGTGACTGCGGGTGAACGCGAGGATCCTTTCAACTGCATAGATCAATAATTACTGACTGCTGTCGTCTTTTCTGTGATACCTCTCCTACGTAATTTTGGCATGCTATTTAGCAAACGGCCTAGTTTTAAAGTTAAACAAAAACTCGTGAGCTGGTTTGGTTGGGATTATTTTCTTAAAATCAATAACTGCCAACGGATACCTCTGATTGTATTTGTTCAAATGCACTAGCAACAGCTTAAAATTTGTTGATAAAAATTCTGATCTACCTTCAGAAGTAAATTCAGCGATGAGTTTACGGGAAATTCCCGTACTGGTTGGCCTTCCCAGCTCAATAAGGACTGTTGCACAACGACTGCCAATGATGTACAAAAGACACAATACATGGCCATGCATATGACTATTGCTGATTGATTAACCATCATAAGCCTCTCATACCCGGCACCCGAGCAAGGATAATGTGACTCAGGACGTGAATTTTAAAATATCACAGCACGCACACAGTTACTCTTGTAATTCCATCAGCAATTTAACTTGACTTCAGATCACTTGTCGGAAAACTCTAGATTAATCACTTAACTGCATTTTATTACTGGACGAAT